AAATTGCAAATTAAATCACACAGCATCATTAGTGTAATTCCAGCTTCTTTCAAAATAGTTATGCTTTTACTAATTGTAACACTTTAAAACAGTGGTGGTTAATGTTCTTGATAGAGGGGACCTGAAAGAGCTGTCCCTGACATTACCTAAGGGCCGCACATAATAATCAGAGGATGTATTTCTACAAAAGGTTTCTGCGGGAGATGGCCAGAGACTGCAGCCATGCTGCGGGAGGTGGCCAGAGACTGCAGCCATGCTGCGGGAGATGGCCAGAGACTGCAGCCATGCTGCGGGAGATGGCCAGAGACTGCAGGCATGCTGCGGGAGATGGCCAGAGACTGTCAAAGACTATGGGCATGCTTCAGGAGATAGCCAAAGACTGCAGGCATGTTATGGGAGATGGTCAGAGACTGCAGACCTACTGTAGAAATAGTTGGAGACTGAGGACATGCTTCAGGAGACAGCCAGACAGGAGACACATTACATGAGACTGCCCGAAATGACTGTTATGCCCCTTTACAAATCGAAGATTACACATTTGTGTTCCCTTCAGTCCCTTAAAAAGGAGAACTATGAGGTGAGTGCTTTTCATTCACCTCATAGTTCTAGCCAACCTGTGACAATGAGACTGTCACAGGTCGGCTCAGTAGATCGGGAGGTGAGCGAACACATACCGGCGTTTGCTCACCTCTCGTTCCTGTCACAGCCATCTGCCGTGACAGGGGAGGGGCTGGATTCCTCCCTCCCCGCTCCGATCCGCCAGCGCTGACTGGCAGAACGGACAGGGGTGGTACAGCTGGCTCTGCCTCTAGATAGGCAGAGCCAGCTGTCACTCAAGCAGCTGGGCGGATCCAGACATAATTGGCTGTAGCTCGCAGTATACTGTGGCGTCTCAGTATACTGCGAGCTGTAGCTCGCGGTATACTGAGCTTAGGGTGACGGGAGGACGCTAGTTTGTGTCCTCCCATTACCCTCAGGAGAACTATGGGGAAAAGCCTTAACCCCATAGTTCTCCTTTAAAAATAATTTCATATATCACTGGGTAGATTTGCCTTCATTTCCTCTCCTAGAGACAAAGGAGGAAGTGAGATGAAATCTCATTCTGTCACCAAGCCCCACCCCCTATTTATTTTTCAGTACAGTGGGTAAGGATTTTTGGCTGGACTTACACTTTAATAATAAAAAGACTTGCCATTAATAAGCAGGATTGACTATCAATACTTTGTAATATGAATAACCTACCTGTGCCAATGTAGGAGGAGGTGGAGGTGCTGGAGGAGGGGGGACCGGCATTCTCACAAAGGTTCACTGTACTGTCTCCAGGACCTGTCAATAATAAGAAAATATTCCTTTATGTGCCTGGTACGATGTTATAGTACCTGTGTAGTCTTTAGTATCTAAAGATCTGTAGAGGATCCGTCTTGACAATAAGTATATAAACTGAATAAATGATCTAGCAGCTCAGAGGATGCCAAGTATCAGGTAAGTTCTTTTTTCCAGCCCCTAGGCCAAAACCAGCAGTTAAAGGAGAACTATGAGATGAGTGATTTCCACTCACCTCATAGTTCTAAGCCGACCTGTGACAATGAGACTGTCACAGGTCGGCTCAGTAGATCGGGAGGTGAGCGAACACATACCGGGTTCCCTCACCTCTCGATCCTGTCACGGCTCTCTGCCGTGACAGGGGGAGGGGCTGGATTCCCCTCTCCCTGCTCCGATCTGTTTTAACCTTCGCAGTGCAGGGCAGCCCCATTGCAAGGGTTAACTTTGTTAATTCCTGGAGTTCTTCCTGAAGAGAAAAATCCTAAACAAGTTTACATAAAATCATCTTATGCCCACATAATATGGCTTTGTTTCAGAATATCAGAAGTCCACACCTAATAACCAATCACCAGCATTGATTCTGGGAAAGCCTCCTTCCATCTAAATATAAAAACATAGGTTTGGGAGTACAAATAAGATACAATAAATTGCTCAGATGTCAGATTATTTCAAATGTTGTAGTCTATAGGGACCTTGGATTGTAAGCTCCTTAAAGGCAGGGACTGATGTGAACGTGCTCTGTGAATGTCCAGTGTAAAGCGCCGCATAAATTGTCAGCATATAGAAATACCAATAATAATAAAAAAATAAACCTAAAAAATGTGTAATGAACTGCAAGCCAGATATTGGGCATTGCCCCCCTACCCCCAATGGTTAAGGCCAACAGACAATCTCTCAATCAGTATGGTTACAATATTTGAATGTGTATCTCACTGCCACAGTCTACGGACCAGTACCTGAAGGCAGACAATACATAATGGATATAGTATTGGATGATCAAATCTGCCAGCCCCCCAGGTCAGATTTGATGGCCCAGTCTACATGCCAATGGCTACTCATAGTAACTACTGCAATATTTAAGGGAGAATTTGACTGTGCAATTGTTTAATTTAGTTGGGTCTGGTGTGTAAACGTGAATCCACTTTGCGGCCCTGTCCCTGTTTTCCAACTTCCTCGATCAGTGGAATGTGTGTATAATGCCACTCAAGCCCAGGATGTTATAAGAAGGATAGACTCTATAGTGAGGACTTCAAAACCTGGACAAAAAGGTAAATTATATTTATACATCTATCTGTCGAGTCGTCGTCGTCGTCGTCGTCATCATCATCATGTGAACCTTGGTATTGCAGAATACACATTGGATTCGTTTGCATTATATTTATGTTGAGCTTACAGCTACAGCATGTCTCCACTGTCTACCACTACATCCATGCACTGCCACTGCACCCACACAGTCCTCTGATCTCAAGTGCACCGGCAGACCTTTCCGCTGATTGCCATTGTACCCATTTCATTTTCTACTGACAGCCACTGTACCCACACACACTTCTCCCCTGACCCATACTGTACCCATGTAATTTTCTACCGACAGCCACTTTACCCGCACATTTCTCCTCTGACCCATATAGTTACATAGTTACATAGTATTTGGGGATGAATAAAGACATACGTCCATCAAGTCCAACCAATATAGGTCCACGCATCATCTCATTCTTAGGGATACTGGTATCCCTGGATATTACGGTCCCTCAAGAAATTGTCCAAACGTTTCTTGAACAAATCTACACTCTTGGCTGAAATCACTGCCGATGGCAGTGAGTTCCAGACCTTAACCACTCTTACTGTAAAGAAACCTCTTTGCCCATTGTGCTGGAATTTTTTCTCCACCAACTTTAGGTGGTGGCCTTTAGTCTTTGTAATGGAGTTAATCTCAAACAGTTTGTTGCCAATGTTGCTAATGTTGCTGTCACCATTGAACATCTTGTACATGAAAATCATATCCCCCCTTAATCTCCTTAATTCCAGCGTAAACATGTTTAATTCTCTACTGACAGCCACTGTATCCATGCACTTCTCTCCTGACCCATACTGTACCCATGCCATTTTCTACTGACAGCCACTGTACCCGCACATTTCTCCTCTGACCCATTCCATTCTGAACTGACAGCCACTGTATCCGTGCACTTCTCTCCTGACCCATAATGTACCCATGCCATTTTCTACTGACAGCCACTGTACCTGCGCACTGCTCCCATGCCATTTTCTACTGACAGCCACTGTACACAACGCACTTCTCCTCTGACTCACACTGTACCTATGCACTTCTTCACTGACCACCACTGCATCCGTACACTTCTCTACTGAATGTCCCTCTAGCTGCAAAGTTTTTCATTGACTGCCACTGCACCCATACACTGCTTCAGTGAATGCCACTGCACCCAAGCACTTTGCTACTGACCGGCGACCGTCAATGTAGCACAGTTCATAGCATACTTCCCATTGCCAGCAATTTTCCACACTTCTCCACTAACCGGCACCGACTGCACTTGTGCAGTACTCTATTGACTGCCACTGTACTGATGCACTTCTCCAATGACCACCAGCAATATTATGAAGCTCTTCTCCACTGACTGCTGCCCATGCAACAGTAAAACACTTGCCACAAAGTCCTGCTCTTTGCATGCGGTGCTATATTCTAGACATGTGCGATTCGTTTCGTTCCGAATCGAAATTCGGATGAATTTTCGGGAATTCGGACATTCGGATGTATCCGAATTCCGAATTACAGATATAACGAATGCAAACGAATCTGAATTTTCGTTCCCAAAATTCGGTAGCGGTAGTTTGTTCGAACGTTCGTTTCGTTTTCGTTTCTTATTCGTTTCGTTCGCGGAAGAAAAACATTTTTCCCCATAAAAGTCACTTTGCTGCAAACGAACGAATGAACGAAATGAATAAGAAACGAAAACGAAACGAACGTTCGAACGAACTACCGCTACCGAATTTCGTCCGAATCCGAATTGACTTTCACACCCGAATTCCGAAAAACGAAATAACACAAATCCGAATTTAAAAACGAAACGAAAGTAAACGAATTTTTTGGCAGTGCACATGTCTACTATATTCTACAGACTGCCGAACTCTGTGCACAGTATTGTACATTGATACCACCACCACCACTTTTACAGATTTGGTACTTGACCCTGTTCAACAAACAGACACACTTTTAAAAATATATATTTAAGCTGAACTTATATTTTTGGAGTTCTGGCTCCTTCTGCATCTCCTATTAGGGATGCAGGAAGAGGACGCCATAGTTTTACTATATGGAGGTGTCTGCAGCAGCAATGCACTTTAATCTTGTACAAGAGATACTAATCACCTTTGAGTGTTTTTCATTGGGGCAAACACAATACTTAATATATTTTACACAGCTAGCAGAGCATCAGTTTCACATATAGTGCTTCCCCTCTCAGTGGCTATGCTCCGCTTCCCCCTCTAGGGCTTCCTGTGAAAAAAAAAAAAAAAAAACTGTGGACGGAAGGGTAAGGCTCAC